AGGGGGTTGGAGGTGTATCTATTGGCTATGTGGCTCCAGCAACTCTGTGTGCACCGGGTTAGCAGTCGAGAGGAACAACGAATAGAAACATCAACAAAAAATAACACAAGATTCATTAGATTTTGCTTTAAACAGACACAATAATCTGTTCTGCTGAGGATTGTACTGTAAGGGCGTTTTATCAGTAAATTCAACGAGTGCTCAGGTTAGAGAAAAAGGATTTTAAATACTGTAGCTTCGACAGCGGATCTTTACTGCACCGTGACATTCACAGCTAAAAACATAAGGACACAAACGTGTGGTTTGAGTGTGCTGTCAGCGTTCACATGTCCCCAGAGACAAAAACACCCAAACTATTTACATACCAAGTTCTGAAGACGTTCTCCAAAACCTGATGAAAAAGATCCAGACAATTATTACAACAGCTGCGATAACAACTTGAAATATTCATGTCTGGTTGTGAAAACCTGTGTTCATAAATTCAGCTCAATCTTAAGAAAATAAATCAAATATCAAAAAAGATACAACAGTAAAAAAAATGGCACTTTACAATAAAGAATTGCACAAACTGAACCATATAAAGTTTTTAATAGGATGTTGATTAAGATGATTACATGATCCTAAGTCTCAAACTCAAGTAAAATGCATCTTTTTCCTATAAAAACTTCAACGAGTATTTGATTGAAGGGACAAAGACATTGGCAAGATTACAATCGGCATCTTCCTGGTTTGTTTCATCGACTGTTTAAAACAATGGAGGACATGAGAGCTCACTAAAACCTTTGGAGCTCCCCCTACTGACTGGCTGCAGTATAGACAGTCATAAACCCACCTTTGGCATGTCAACAGATGGGACATGTTGTCAAACTAGAAAATCTAAATGCACTTCATACACAGTATCTGTCTTTACATTTCATTCTTTAAGAAGTTTCTTTATAGGTACATGATACTATAAATAGGTGTAAAATGATTTGATTGACAGCTCTGTTGATGAATGCAGCTTCTAAGACGCTTTGTGTATCGGATTCCCAGAGTAGAGGAGGATCAGCGAGAGGAAACATATAAAACATAAACACCAGAGTCAATCACCCTGAGTCTGCTTCAAACCAACACAAGAATCTGTTCTGCTTGTGGACTGAGGGATCTTTGTTGCTGGGTATAGATAAGCTCAATATGTGTTTTGGGTAGGGGCGGTCCGTCAATACCAAGGAAGAGCCTCTACTGTGCAACTCTGGCTAGAGGTGGGGATCGAAACCTGGTTCTATTGCGGACTGGGATCTGCATTTATCAAAACCTGAAAATCCCCTTAAAGAAGGAAATTTAGGTTTTGGCAAGAAACTTGATGATTAAGTTTTTTGGAGGGAACATGTGTTTGTTTTCTTTTAGGACTAAAGAGCTCTAAACATCCCGCTGGTCTTGTCTTTACACCAAATAATAGAAAAGTATTGACAGTGGTATTGCTAAAGACCTGGTTTATTAAGGAACTTAATAATGGTTGAATATCAATAAGACTAATGATCCACATCCCTTACTCTGTCTCCAAATGACGTCACCAGGCCAACATGTCAGCTCCTGTCACGTGGGGGTATTTTGGCTTTATTTCTGTACAACAGAAGGTGGAGACACACCGTCCATCTTTATGTACAGTCAGTAGAACAGTTAGTCGAGAGGCTTCTTTCAATGAAATAAATAAAACAGTAAAATGTCAGAGTATACCATATATCAACCATGTGGACTATCATTCTGCAAGTTTATCTTTCATCATCTCATCAAACAAGTCCAACAGCTGAGCGTTGAAAATAAATAAAAATGTTCTCTTCTTGTAAGAGTGGCAACTTGTTTTGTCAGAAATATGAGTTTCTTTGTTACATGACACAAACCATGATACACACCATCTGAATGATACCAATGACAGTTCCAGTTAAAGGCTTTATATGTGATTTGTTGATCCAGCAGATGTCGCCCTTGAGCACCAGCATGAAACCAAAACAACTCGCGCTGCATTGTTGTGTTAGCATGCTAATGCTAGCGATCTTTATTATGCTCGTATCTTCACCCTGCATGTAAATTTACCTGAAATGAGCGTGATCTAGAAACACAGTTAAGCAGTGAGTACAGTATGTTCTTCTTCTTTTCTCTAGTCCCTCAATCAAACAACTTTTATATGTGAGGGGAGGAGTCAGCCGGCCGCCCCGACGATGTAAACAAACTGAAGATAGGACTCTGAAAACATCACAGACAGTGAGACTCGGGTGTTACACCCATTGTAGACAGTCATGACTCACAGAGTTATTTTCAGAGAATATACTTGATTTCTATTATATCTAAGTGTGAAAAATCACATATAAAGCCTTTAAGGTGCTATTAAAGAAAAGTTGTACATTAAAGCCAAGTATATATTTGCTAAAAAAAAAACTCTTGGGACATTCCAGTCAGCATTTAAAGATTTAAAAACGTGTGTAGAATAATTTAAGTTGAAAAGCTTTTCTGACTGAATCTGGGTCAGTCACATCCTTCACATCCACTCCTCCAACAGAAAGAGAGATATCGGGTCGTGTATTAAAGTCATTTCGGAAACTCGGCAGTGTGGCTGAGATTAGGAAGAGAGGCCTCTCTTGATGGCGTACAACCAGAGTGCATTGGTTCCAAAGAAAGGTGAGGACTCTGGTATGTTCGAGGCAGGTGAGCAGATTTGGTTGGCTGTGGAGGGGCTGGCTGAGGCTCCTTTGGAGGTGTTGCAGGCCTCTGGAACTCGGGTTCTTCAGTTTTAGCCACCCCTCCTCTGATGTTTCCTCCCTGCTGTCGTGCACACGGGGTTACCGTAGCATCGGGCCTGGCGGGGGAAGAAAAAGAGACTCGGCCCGAGGTGGGGCTGAGGTCACTGGGCCGCTGCTCCTCCTCCTTGTCGTTCTCCTTTGGGTGGTACTGTTTGAGGCGGATGTGCCAGGCCAGGCTGCAGACCGCAGACACCGTCTTAAACTGGTGGATAACGTTCCTCGGTATGAAGTAGATGTCGTCGTCACAGAGCTGGACCCGCACGTAGCGGATCCCTTCCCGCCTCAGCTGGTTGAGTTTGGCATCATCGACCCACTGGACACACTGCATGAGACAGATACTCACAAGTTAGGTCTAGTTAGATAAGTATCGTTATCAGTGAAAAAACCTGGAATCACACATCTTCCGGGATTAGGAGTGAATTCCAGTTGTCACCTGAGACACGGGAGGCTCATACAGATCCAGCTGCAGCATCTGGACAACTTCATTGAAATCCCCAGCTTGGAAACACACAACGTCTTTGGTAATCCGAGGTCGGTTATTCCTGCGACACAAACAGGTTACTGTGGTATCTTAAATGATTTCACAGAGACGAGCTTCTCTGTTGCAAAGGATATTTATTGAATAATTAAACAAATGATTGAACATTGAGCACTGAGGTCTGCAGAGGTCCAGAACGGAACAATACACAAATACATGATCTTAAATATATTTGCATATCATTGTGGTTTTGCTCCCCCTGGTGGATCTTACTAACACTCTCACTTCCTGTTTTGAACAACACCTGTTTTGTCACTCACACCGAGTATCCAATGGTTAGGTTTTCCACGCTTCTGGCCACTGATTTATTACTCCCCAATAGGAATAGCCCATTGACGTAGGAGTTATGCAACACCAGGATGAATCCATCACACATTTTACAACTTAATGACTTTATTAGAATAGAATAGAATAGAATTACTTTATTGATGCCAAACTGGGAAATTGTGGAGTTACAGCAGCATGTTATCAAAGCAAATAAAACAATATAAGAATAGATAAATAAATAAGCACTTAGAATATAAAAAATAAGAATAGGAAGAAATGTATACATCAAGGATTTAACTTGACATTCCTACTGGTTTAAAAAAAAAAAAAAAAAAAAAATTAAATACAAAAAAATTTAAATACAACATTTATTCAGGTTTGTCAACTGAATGTAAAAATGTATTTATTAAAAAAAAGGTTATTGCAACAACAAAAAAAACCTATATTTTCCTTTGTATATACTGCATCTTTACATCATTGCAAACACTCATGAGTTGGTCTAACTTCTTAAGCTCCAAGAATCTGGATCACTTGTGTGAATACACTAGAGCTGCAAACTGCACCATTTTTAAAAACCCACTTATTTGGAGGAGCTTTTTGGTCATTCGAGTTGTTTGTCCATAAACATTAAACAAGTTATTTATCCCTTTTTTAAGGAATTTTTGGGGGCTTTTTATGCCTTTATTTTAGATACCAGGGAGAGAGAAAGTGGGGAATGACATGCGGGAAAGGAGCCAGAGGGACTCTAGGACTCTAGCCCCCTGTACTTGGGGTGCACGCACCAACCACTAGGCCACCGGCGCCCCTTGTGTTTATACAATTTTATTTCTCTTTTCAAACACTTGGCTTGAGTTTTTCCACTTTTTTTAAGTGTCAGCTTTCTTCCCCTACAGCTTGTTGTTTCTGTGTTTTGAAATATACTGCATTAATAAAGCTTAGTATTATATATATATATATTTATTTATTTATTTTTGAGTACATATATCACATCAAAAGATACTCACCATTCTCCAAAGTGCACTGCCTTCAGGACTCCTACAGCAGCCGTGCTCTGCCAGTCAAAACTCTGTCCCACATGGTCAGCGTGGGCTTTAGTCCGGTCCTCAAACAGAACCTCTCGGGGTTCACTGGCCCGCGGCAGATAGTGCAGATTTTTTATCTCGTTCATTGACCTGCACAAAAAAAAGATCATACTTACATTCCCTTAAATGTCCGTGATTATTTATTTATTATTCACATCAATATGGACCTGCTGTATGTTCATATATTTTTTAAACACATTATTTTCCGAGCCACCTCTCCTCCCCTTCAATCATAGACGACTCTTTTGATATTTGGAAACAGTAGGGCAGAAGTAACCTAAAGTCTCTGTTAATAGATAAAGTATCTCCCACATCTGAACTAGAGCCTGACCGATTAATCATCCAGCCCATAATATCGACCGATATTAGCATATCCAGTGACTATCGGTATCGGCTAATTTTATTGCAGATATGCAGCGATATTACTCGATTTACTCACAAATCCCAGCCGAGACTGAACTCTGTAAACTCTGATCTGCCTCTTAAGCACACTCATTCTGGCTTTGTCCTAATCTGTCCACCTATTAGAGCTTGATCTTCCAAACACTATCTGATGTTTTACAAAAATGACTGTCCAGCCTGGTCACAAGATCGCCATTTTAAGGCATAGATGGAGAAAAAAAAACAAGAGCGTTTGAGGAGCCAATCTAAGAATAACAAAATGCTTTGTTAGCGCAGAGACTTTCATTGTCGTACCTGCGTCTTTTGAAAGGAGACTTGGGCATGTCAGCAGTGGGAACCATTTGTTCTCCAGGTCGCACCCACATGATGGGTCCATCGTCACTCTGAGAGCGACAGTCCAGCTTTAGACTGGAGAGGCTTCCCCATGGTAGAGTCATCTGAAGTTACACACACATTCACACACACACACACGCACGCACACACACAGCTGTGAGTTTAAGCGATATGCAAATTTCCAGAACCGAGCTGAGATTTATTGTTCATTTTAATCAGTAAAACGAATACAAATACCATGTCATAACAAACTATGTGTAATTTAGTTTCCATTCTTATTATGAAATGTAAAACAGATTGAACAGATGTTACATAACAATAACAGTTCCTCAGCTCTGGAGTTCAAGTGGAGTGTGGTGCTTGTACTTCTTAATTAGCTTCCTGGCAGAAACATGCTGTGTTCAGCAGATTGGTCTCGTATCGTTAATAGAGCTAGACTACAAACTTTGAAAATGGAAAATCTTTCTCTGACCTTTAGAAAAGGTGACTCCTCGAGCATGTCGAGGAATTCTGGGAAATAGTCTCCAACTTCTTCGTCCACGGCTCCAACCAAGCTGATCTGTCTCATGGGTCCGGACCGGAACGTTCCTGAACTGTACGTCCGGCTCACCTAGGACAAGGAGAAACAGATGATGTCTGTTTAACTGAAAACAATACATAGATTTTGATTGTCTGAGTTTTTTTAAATTTTGTCTTGATTTTGGCAGTATCTTACCTCGTCGCTAAATTTTGTCATGTAAGTAGTGATTTCAACATCCATCTTTCTTTGAACAGTCAAATATATCATCTGTTGGGAATTATTGTTGTAGAAAATGTAAAGAAAGGATGTTCCTGCAGTGGGCTGTAACTCAACTAATCTGGCAACTACCCTGCGACAGGGTTCAGGCATTTAAAATAACTACTGAGAAATAATCACACCTGAAATCCTCACAGGAGTTTTAATCAGAATTTAATCAGAAATAAGAAGCACCACAATCTCAATAGATTTGAAGGTCACAGATCATACTCCTTTTCAACAAGTTTTAATTAGTCTCAGAGCTCCCCAAAACATGTCTGTGAAGTTTCTTGTTCTGAATCCACTCTGATCCTGTATTTGATCATGTCTATAAACCACTCTATTTCAGCCCTGCTCAGAACAGGCTGTTTCTGTGTCTGTACCTTTAAATGTAAATGAACTGTCTCCGGCCACGCCCCCTCTCTGGAAGGGCGAGGGTGGCTCGGGCTTTCTCGCTCCATGCTCTGGTTTTTTTTTTTTACAAAGAGAGGGCCAACTCAGAGGGCAGAGAGCAAACACCTAGCTGTGGGAGTGTCACCCACCTGGGGGAGGGGTCACTGCCCTTTGTGATGTCACAAAGGGAAAATCTCCAATTGGCCTGTTTGAGCACACATTCTCTGAAAAGTGGAGCAGGCAAAAGATGGAGAGGATGGACTTTACTCATAATTGGGGGGTTTGTAAACAGACTAGGGACACGTATTAGTGTTTGAAAAACATGATAAAGTGCATTTTGCATAATATGCAACCCTTCAGTGGACACAGCTCTCGTACATTGTTCATTATACTATCTGCGCTTCTTCTTCTGTGAGCTAAACGAACCTCCTGGTCATGAAACAAGTTTGTAACTTACAATACTATTTCTGTCCAACATTACCCTTCAAGCTGGAGGTAGAATTTAAACTCTCAAATACGGGTTATTAAACCAGCCGGAAGCTGCAGCACATGTAACGGACCTCGCTTCAATATTTCTTTAACTCATGGGAGTTTTCCTCGAAGGTCACCCTCATGGGCTCCTTATTTATGAGAGTGAATGGCAGAGAAGCTGCAGACCAAAATCATGGGAGATCAATACTGTTGTATGTAGATTTGATTGCATGTAAGCTTTCCAGATTATAACCAGCATAGAAAAAGATGGTGAGGTTAAGTTAATCTGCATAGTGTTGTCTTTCCTGTTTGAGAGCACTGCTGTTATTATAACAACATGTAGTCTATTCAAGGCCTTCTGAATGCACTTTGATGGACAGCATTGACCCTGTAAAGTGCAGTAGAAACAACACAGCCACTGCTGGCAGGTCATTCTGCTCTCACAGCATCAATTAATTCTCTGGATGCTCGAGTGGTGAAATGATCAAACGAGTGCTGCTCTCCCTGTATGAACTGAATGCTGCTGAGCTCTCTGCAGATCCAACATCACGCATGCAAACATCCTAGCTAGCTTTTCCTCCACTCTGCCATCCCTCCTCAGGCACCAAGAGTAAGTATTATTCTGTGTGGAGCAAAAGCGGCTCCATTTGATCTATTCAAGAACAGGAAAAACTTGGCATCAGCTCAGGTTTTTAAAACTGAACAACAGTGACCTTTGGACTGAGTCAACTACTGGGTGGTAAAAACACCTGAAGTCATTCATGAGCTGATTCTCTTTTCACATGTCAGCCACTTTGATTTAATTATCCTATTCAAAAATAAAAATAATATACAGTTTAATAATTAAAATGGTTTAAGTTTCTATAAGTCATTGAAAAGGTAAAGATAATCTGTGCTCCTCAAAGTTTGAATTCGTCATAAAAACGTTTCCCCGACAACATGAGGCCCGTGACTGAAGCCATGACATTAAAATAAAGTTTTATGATGCAATTTCTATGCAAAGGCATTCTAACCCAAGCCTGTCTTTTTTTATATATTTTAAATTAACCTTTTTTAACCATTTAACCAGGAGTAGATCCCGACCGATTAATCTGCCAGCCAATAATATCGGACGATATTAGCATATCGGTATTGGCTGATTTTAATCACACAAATGCGCCAATATTACCAGATTTATTCAGCAGTCAAAAAGATGTTTATAATTTTAATTGCATTACGCTAGCAGTAATTTTTCTGGCTGTCACCAGCAGAGGGCGCTAAAATTCCATATCGGTCAGGCTCTAACCCAGTGTATTCCCATTAAGATACAAAAATCTCCTTTACAAGGCAGTCCTGGCCAAGACAGCTCTACCAAAAATAGAAATACTTATTTTTTAAAAGATTGTTTTGGGGGCTTTTTATGACTTTAATTTCAAGACATGACAGTGGATAGAGTCAGAAATCAGGGGGAGAGAGAGAAAGGGGATGCGAGAAAGGATCCACAGGTCTGATTTGACCCGGGCTGCTCGTTCTGAGGATTTAAGACCCTGTATTGGGGCGCTCACTAACCGCTAGACTACCATCACCCAATAGTAGAAATATCTTTAATCAAATTTATAAAAGAAACTTAAGATCATCAAATTAATATGATTTGGGTTGCAATGAAGATGCAGGGTTTTTTTTTTTCAGTGCAGGTCAGATGTACCTGTTGTCTTCAAACATACCTGAGAGTGAAAGTTAGCAATGGTGGTGGTCTCGATGTCTTTCTTGCCCATAATCTCCATCTTGACCGGTGTGTTGGGGAAGTTGAAGGCAAAGTAGTCCAGGAAGTCCGGTAGGTAAGCAGCTGCTCTGTGAACCACTGCCAGGGCATAGGTGGCTGCACCTCTGGGCCTCTCGGCAAAGGCCAGATCCAGAAACTCCTGTGCAAAACACTCCATCTGAGCCGGACTCAGACACGCCAACTCATCAGCGTAGGCGTGCAGCACCGACCCTCCACCGTTGGCTTGCCTTTCCACGTGCATGAAGCGCCCGTAGGTGCCCGTCTGGAGACAGGAGCTGCGGATGTAGTGATCCTGGTGGGAGAGGAAGGGGGCGTGTTCCAGTTTGAGAGGGTGGAGGTAGGGTTGGCGGTTGTCAACGGGGTCCCTGCAAGGGTGCCGATGGTTGTTTTCAAGCTTCAGGGCTGGATCTGTCTGCACCGCTTTGTTGTGTGTGTGTCGGACCTTTTTGGCGTCGCGCTCTTCCTCTCTGTGCTTCTTCTTCCTCTTCTTCTTCCTCAGGAGATATTCCTCCAGTGTCAGTGACTTTATGTTCTCATTGTTGGGCTTTGGCTCTACAGGTGCAGAGATAGGTATTGTATTATTGTCTTTTATTATCTCTAATTATTTAAAAGAGAAATGCATGATTAACTACAATAGAAATGATGATTCATTATAGCATGCTGATTTACAGTATTAGTGGACAGGAGTTCAGCTTTGTCATTATCATGCACCATGAAATTCTTGGATTCTCAAGACAAGAAACCCAATCAATAATCTTGGATACTTACTGTATTTTAAACTTTTTTACCAAACATAAAGAGTGCAGTTACAAGTTATATGGGGGACTGATATTTTTACATAATATGTGGAAATCTCTGGCTACTGCCCCCTTTTCTTGAAAGGCTTTTTTTTAAAGCATACAACCCCTTTAATATATGCACAAGATAATACAACTCACCTTTCTTTTTCTTCACTTCAACGTGTTTCACATTCGTCTCTGTGTTTTCCTTCCTGGGCTTAACTTTCGGGTCTTTATCCCGGTGCGGTTCTTTAAAATCCTGGGGTTTGGCCTTGAGCATCTTGAGGGGTGTGAAAGTGAAGAGCGCAGGTGGCTCGGGGGGAGCCGCTCGCTTCTTCTGCAGCTGCTCCGGCGCCTTCCGCGCTGCAGGAGGAGGTGGAGGCAATGGTGGCTGCAGGTTCTTTTTCGCACCGTTGATGAGGTCGTGATGATGATGGTGGTGATGGTGGTGGTGGTGGTGGTGGCTGTGCTGATGTTTGTGCAGGACATGTTGGTCTGCGTTAAAGTTGTGCGGTTTGGGTTTCTGGTGCAGCTGGTGCGGCTGCTGGCCCCGCTGCTCGGCGTCCTGGTGGTGGAGGTGGTGATGGAGCTTCACTTTCTTCGCCTCTTTCTCACACCTCTCCCGTTTGACAGCCGATGGCGACAGGTCCCGTTTCTTCTTCTTCTTCTTCTCTTTCATGTATCTATCAAGACTAACCCTGAGCCTTTCTTCTTCTTCTTCCACTTTCGCACGGAGCAAGTCCACTTGAGCTGCCATCTTCGCACGTACAGTACATTTAAAGGACTCTGAGTGACTACTGCGCAGGTGCACGAAAAAATGTAGTCCTCCTGTACTCAATTTGTAGTTCATTTCCGCATTTTCAAGCTACTACGCACGCGTAGCAATGTGGGCCTGTGGGTTATGTAGTTTGTGACGTTGCAAAGCTACACGGGAGTTGAAGTCAATAGTGTAGTGAGTGCGTGCAGATACGCACGCACTCACTTTTGCCCGGCTGACGTCATCGTTTTTTTGATTGACCGCCACGGGGGGCAGTATTTCATCATTTACAAAAAGTGACACAAACGGCACAGACTGACAACATACATTTAATTTGAAGGCTGACATGTGTTAATTTATTTATTTTAGAATATCTAAAGGTTGTTTCAAAACATTAGTCAGGTCCTCGTGTCACATTTTACCCCACAATAAGCTTCTGTGTTAAAATAATTGATGCATTAATGAACAAATCAAGTGAATATTTTCAAACTTTAAGCTTTTAACACAAATTAACACAATTTTCACATAATTTCACATCCTTCCATTACTAAATATGATCACAGGAAAACTGTCTTCAGGCACACAAAGAGGTCCGTCGGCACTAATAGGACTAACTATTGGAGGACACAGGCTTATTCCACAAAGGCGGACTGTTGAAGCTTCACATTTGTTAAGGATGATTTCCTAGATGTATTTTTGCACAGTATTGACTTAATACTTACATCCATCAGAAAAAGATCCCTTTATTTTCAGTATAAATGGGGGTGAATGATTCCTGATTTTTGTGTACAAATGGGGACATTAGTTTGAAGCTGGACTTAAAATGTAAAATGACTGATACTGTATTTAACATCGCAGTGACTCACCACCAAAATAAATTGGATACAAGGAATTCAATTTAATACCTTTGTCAATATCAACCACTTCTATAAATAAACAAAAAACAAACAAATAGAAATATCTCAATCCCATTTATTCAGTAAACCTTTATTTATCAGTGCATGAACAGAATGCCATGACCAGATTATTTTTATCACTCATTTTATATATCATCTCTTCTGACTTCCCTTAAAAAAATAATGAAACGATTTACAGAGGATTTTTTTTTTCTGCATGAAGGCAAATATTTATACAGGTGCTGTACAATTTATAAACATTAACATCTACCATGATGTCAAAACTAAAACTTTTTTTTTATATATGTTGAAGCAATGCAAGGCCACAGTATCGTACATGGTAATGGCATGAATATTAATTAATACAGTAGCCTGTCATATCAACAATAAAGGTGGACAATAAATTAGTAAGTGGTCTTATAGACCAGTAGATGCATGTGTTACTTTAGTACATCCTTAAACAGGCAGATGAAGGAACAGTTCAAGCAGTGACGACTTTTATGAACCACTAGATGTCTCTGTACTCCACTATAGCAACAAGACACACAATATTGTCCTCAGAGCAGGGCACAAGTGATCCCAATAAATACAAAGTAATGTCTATCTTTCTCATCTCTGACTTGGATCCCCATTGCTGTAATTTCAAAGGAGAATTGTAAAAAAAAAACTAAAAAAAAAAAACAGCAAAGCAATTTTCACATTATGCACCACGTTCTTCAACCACCAAAAGGCAGCTTTTTCTGACCTTAAGTTGTAGAAAAATGAACTGCCTTCTTAGGGAGTCTGGCGCTATTTCTAGCGCAAAAGGGCAAGCCATGATGTTGATAACAATTGACTACAATTAAGGTGAAAAAAATGCACATACTATTTATTCACATTATGGGTAAATATGTACTAAATAACTAATTTGATCAAAAATAGATTTTGAGGTTAGAGTGAAGAAAAGCGATATGCTTTTTGTGCCTACATTTACATTGATAAAAATATCTCTTAAAGTTGAAGGCAGAGGGCTCACTTCTCTTTACAATCAGGCTCTGTTATTATATCTTGTAAATATAACTTTGTTAAATCATATTTTCGATTAGGTATAGTCAATGCTACAGCGATATCTAATATACAGTACATAGGCCTACTTGTCCTCTTGTATACACACATAGCCGGAGGACTGGAAACACAGAGCTGCGAACAGTAGACGGCATTATGAATCAGGCTTGCATGACTCTTTACAGACACTGAAATCGCAGAAATATAATGTATAGATTACCGATTCGATGGTGTTGACATTTTAAATGGCGATGCTTATCTACACACTCTATTTCTATCATTAAGTCCACATCAAAGATGAAATGACTCAGAATGGATTCGTGTACTAACAGGTTTGTTTACATATCATTTCAATAAATTACATTATGCTTCATTATCAACACACAAGTAACAAACATTAGAACTACAGTATATCCACAAGTATCTGGTCTGCTGATTGATGCATATAAAAGCTGCAGGGTATTCTGCCAACCTTCTCAAAAGCGAATAGAAAGACTTCTCATGTGCACGAATACAGTCACACAAACAGTTCTCAACCCTCTCTCAGAAACAGACAGTGGATGACGTCGCAGGCATCCCTTTTGCAGCTGATTTTAAGGGAAACTCACCAGCCTCGCTTTTTTTTTTTTTAGTACATCCATCAGTGCCAGGAACAGTGAGTCAATCTTGTCTGGAAGAAAAGCTGAGTGATTGCATGATTGAGTCTTAAACCTTCAAAGCGTCAAAAAGACATATCCTTCATTCGAGACAGGTAGACGTAGAGAGCAGTTCATCTTATTACCCACAAACAGTCTCACAGTGAGTGCAAAAACAGAGCAGCTTCTTTATAACCGGAGTCCCTGATTGGCACAAAATAGACTTCAGTGTCACATCCAACAAAAAAAAAAAAAGTCACACTCAGAACCAACGATCCACACAGTACTAATACTCGTGTAGGTACAAGATCAGACATCATCGATGCAAACTGACCGAGGCAAACTGGGTGAAAAAAAAAGAAGCAATGAGAAGCTATGATGCTGGTTACACAGTGGTCTGCTTTGTCCAAGATTGCTAAAATCAAAATCCTTCCATTCTAATAGTTCATATTTTTCCAAGAGGCTCAGCTTTCGTTTAATAGATGCAGAGAGTCCCGGGAAGATAATCAGACATCCGCGTATGATATGTCCACCTGGGACTGGATCTTGGCAGAACTCGGAACCTTCCATGGACCAGGGGTGATCTGAGCTTTCTTGCTGGTAGAGGTCCCGTTTACGCTGGGATCATGGATGCTACTGCTGGAACCTCTGGGATCCTTTCTATTCGCCTCCTCAGTTAGCCCGAGCTGCTTGATTTCCTGATATTCCTTATCCCCTTCTCTCTTCCCAACCTCCGGTTTAAGGTGCCGCTTTCCGCACCCAACCCCGCCAACTCCCTGTGCGCTTGGGAATGGGGTTTTGGTGACGCCGCCTCTTGTTCGGCTCTTTTGCTTTTCTTGTGGCGTTCACTGGTCCCTAAACCATTGTCTCCACTCTCCTGCCAGTAGGCTGCATCCTCATCCTTGTACCTCCAGTCCTTCCCTTCTCCAGAGGCACTACTGGGCTGCTGGCCGGCTGGACGCCTTGGGCTCTGGGGCTCCACCAGGTTCTTCACAGGCACAGCAGGATCTTGTTCCCACTTGGAGGTCTTCCTAGGGCTAGAGGAGCGGTAATCTCTCTGTCCCTGGGCTTTCCTCCCTCTGCTCATATCCTCCAGGGATCGCTGTGGCCTCGCTCTGTTTTTCTCGGGCTCGGGGAGCGCTCGACAAGATCTGCCCGGCCGTCATTGGCTCTCAGGGGACTTGCAGATTTGGAGTCACTCCTGCCTGTATTTCTGGTCTGGGTGCTGGGGCTGGTGGTACGCTTCTGGCTGTGTTGAGAAAGCTGCTGTCCTCTTGATCTGTTCGCCTGCCTGCCATGCTCATGCCCAGACCCGGGGGACCCAGGTGCCCAGGAATCTCCCCCAAGTGCTCATCGGGGGGCTGCTTTGGGGGAGGACAGTTCGGAGGTAGAGAG